TAATTTGCTTTTAGTTTCTCACAACTCTACTCTGTTAGCAATAGGCAATACATAACGTTACTCTCCCGACATTGCATCTGTTTGGCCCAGGACAGTGGATAATTTTCCTGTCCTTATTTCAATCCATGAGCCCATTTCTATAATATTTTCTCCCCCTCTTCCTTTGAGGAAGGGGGAGTGAAAGAGAGGTGTGGTGGAGTTCAGTTGCCCATCAAGATGAACACACCAGTTTGTTAGCTAAAAATACTAGCTTTGTTTCGTGTTGGAAGAGAGCAAAATCAAGGGTTTTGACAAGAAAAAAAGATTTTTTTTCCGATAGGATTAGATATTTTCCTTGAACATTCCTTGGTTAAAATGATGAAGTTGAACTTTGCCATCTCAGTTCCTCCTAAGACCTGCTCTAGGTGTAGGTGAGTGCCTTTTATGATCTAGTTTTTGTTTCCAGGGGTCATCTCGGCTCTCCAGCCCATCCTTCAAGTGACACGAACTCCACCTTTACAAAGGTAACACATGAAAACCCACCAATATTCTGTCTGTTTGAGTAATAATGTATCTTATAATAAGGCAACACAAGTGCCTCTATACCTTTAGATGACTCCGTATCAGTGCTCCTCATTTTTATTTCTAGGTAGAATATGTTCAAATAATTTCCTCTTGCACTGCTCTGCTAACATCAGAAGTTGAATGAGGGACTACTAATACTGAAAGCACAAACCATCCAGAAAATCCACTTCCACACAGACCTGGGCTTCTGACTATTCCTTTATCAGTTCTTCTAAACTCCCTACTGCCTTTGTAGACATCTTATTTTGCAAACGGTCTCTCTATAAAGTACAGAGCTTGTGTTTCCTCGCTTAGGAAAATATAGCCAGCAGAAATTTTGAGCAATAGTCAGATAATAAATCTTGGTGCGGCAATAAATAGTACATTATCTAGCCAGTATAATCTGTTTTCTAGATAAATAAGCATGAGCTTCACAGCACTACAAAATAAGAGAGGTTTGCTTTTGGATACAGGTATACACATAGAGATTTGCTGTGTTGTTGCTCTAGGTGGAGAGCATGCATTTTTTAAAGCAGCTTCCCAGTTTCTGAGGGTATACAGTTTGTGTATTACACAGACAGGCTATTATCTAGCAGAACAACAGCAGCAAGCCAAGCTGCCACCTAGTGGCATTCTGCGGATGAATGGCATCCTTTATAGCTGCATTCAACCCTCATTCCCTTGGCAATTCTGGTCCATCCTGCTCTGAACTTGATAGCGTTCCTCATCGTGCTGGAGGAAAGTACCCTTTGCAGAAGAGCTCACACCACAAAGCTAAGAGAACATATGGTGTTGATGGCTGCGGAGCTACAACTCTCCATCCCTTTGCAAAGCTAAGCAACTTCAAAAACCTCATTCTGTTGCAAGATGTTTGGTATTGAGAAAGCATTTTCAGTTCACCACATTCCACACAGGCAGAAAGGGAAGCAGAGGAAAGAAACAGAAGAGATAGAAAGATATTTTGATATTACTAAACTATGTCTCCCCTTATCTGCCTTCGGTGGATCAGATGAAAAAGCTGTCTAGAGACCAACAAAGAAGCAAAGTGTGATGGATTTCAGGGAGAAGCTTAAGAAAGTTTAATTCATCAGGGCAATATATAATGTAATATATTCCCATGGAAATGGAACAAAAGATATTTCCTGCAGAATAATCACCTAACAGAAGATTTTGCACCATCTTGTAGAATTTTATGAGACGAATTCAAGTGACTGAGACAGGTTATTGCATGCCCTCTTATGGAAGCCCTGTACATTGATGCAGGAACAGAAAGTGAGTAGAAAGCAGCGACAGTAACTGAAAGACACTGAACAAATATGAATAAGCCACTAAAAGCTACAAAGTATCAATGAAACTACTACTACATCAGTGTTTCCTCTCAGAGGCAGATACAATGGAGGAAGAATGAAGAAAAATGGTTGGATTGTGATATAAAGTCCAAGCATGTCCATGACAAACACTTTTTGATCTGGGAGCTCAAAAATGAGAGAAGTGAGCAGCAGGCAGACTGCCAAGGCAGTAGGAAGGCAATGATGGATTAAAGCGGGCGAATGACTGAATGTGGCCTCTCAACTTCTCCCAAAATGTTTCCTGTATGGGGATATATTCTCTGCTGTTAATGATAGTGGTACTTATTAGCTGCTTTATGGGTAAGCCAAAGATTCCATATGCATGTATGGAAACAGAAATTACAATCATGACCTTTTATTAATTTAATCATTTGTTAACGAGTCAGGGGAAATAGCAGAAAGACAAAATATAAGAGCAACTTGAGTGACTTTAAATGTCACTTTGGTCTTTTGGAGGATATTTTAATACAGTAATTATTTCTTGTCTGACTTTGGTGTTCCCCTAGGAATAATACAAAAGCCTGCAAAGACTGCCTCAGTTTTCTGACTTATCATCCCAAATTGACAAGCTTACAACTTTGTCATGTTGTAATGTTGAATTTAGCCTGCTTTGCTGCTTACCTCCTGATTTTTATGGAAAAGTTTTCTCAGGAGGAGTTTAGCCATCTCTAAGAATGTATGCTGTCATACTAAGTACTGAGAAAACTCAGTACTACAGCACTACACAGTGGGAAAGCACTTAAAACATTGAGTCTCTCTCTCTCCATGCACTGTCATCATCCAAGCACAAACTCCCTACAGCATGTTTGGCACTGTACAGTAGTACTGCTCCTCTGCTACGGAGTACTATAGTACATGTACTCTGTAAAGAAAGCAAAGATATACCAGTAATGACAATAAAAACATCAGTTGTAGCAGTGCACAAATGTTCAGAAGGACAAATAGCTTATTTTGGATCTAGCTGCAACAGACCCCTCACCACTGCAGCACCAGGAATGAGTGTGAATGCCCCCAGCCTGCTCCAGCACAAAGCCCAAATGCCTGCCTTGTATCACCTGACCACAGCCCTCTGCTAAGACAGTGGCAGCAGAGTCCCCTTCAAACCAGGGCTGCCAAGGCTGCTGTGGGGACTATCATTATTTTATATAATATAAAAAGCTGCTGGAGAGCTTTAAACTTGTGTCAGCAATCTAAATGTGTCTTGGCTGTAAAACCTGAAGTCACTAATTTAATGAAGATAGAATTGGCGCAAAAGCATGTTCCCTGGCTGAGACTGGATCTGCCATGAAAAATACCATGTCATCTTATTACAGAGAATTTTCTTAATGTAAGTAATTAAGGGGATGGAAGCACCTACTATTTGTTTTTGGATATCTGATTCGACCCAGAGAAAGTATTATATGGCAAAAAACAGAAATACAAATGTGGTTAAAAGGTAACCATTTGATCAATCAATTTAAATAGCCTCCAGCTGCTGAAATGCTCAGTGTTTTATCCAGTAGAATAATCTCATCTACACACATTGACTTAATGGTACTTATAGCCAAATCCTTCTTTCTTTGACAATGCCACAAAACAACCAAAGCGCCTTGTAAACCAGACATCTTCCTAAAAGGAGAATCTCTGTGCACATGCTCAAACCTCTCCTGTGGATACAATGGTCTAAATGACAGTGCTTACTCATTTGATATTGTTCTCTTGCTCAACATCAACATATGTACAGCAATACTCACTCTCAGGGAGGATAATGACATCTTTGAAGATTTTATATTAGTCGTTATACTTCTTTATTAACAGATCTAAATTTAATCTTCTTTAGCTACGAGGTTCATCATATGAATACTAATATACAACCCAAAGGGCTCTGTCTCATGAATATGAATTAAAGGGAAGACTTTAAAAAAATAGAAAGCCATTTTAGGAGAATTGTTTTTCAGAGGGACATGGGTTCTAAATTAAACAGCATCTAATGAATACATATAACACTAGCACTGTAGGCAAAAGCTTGTATAATAAAGTAATTCCAGTTGTGCCAGAAATTGAGCCAAAAAATGCCAGCTGTGTATATTTATGCTGCTTGAAATACGCAGCTGGACCCCGTAGGTAAGAAAGTAAAGCACACATCCAGGAAAACTTAGACCCCAACATTACTATTGCTACCAAAGAGAAGGTTTGAACAAGCAACTTTTATAGGCACTCAGTGGGTCATCTAGAAGAACACAGTACTTTTTGAGCAATACAATTTGGTTCTCTACATTGTGTTCAAGAGCAAAGTTATTTGCCCTTGCATCTCATCACCCAATTTCAAGCTCATTCATAACCCCATAGTCAAGGTGGTTCTGAAAACTGGCTCAAAAATACTTCAAACTGCTGACTTTTGAAACACATGTGAATGCAACTTCAGTGAAGTCATCACCTCTTGGGTATAGCCTCTTAGTAAATACCTTAGCAAAGCTGCAGGCAAGACCTGAACAAAATGTCTGGTCATTAAAAAAATAATAATAATTAAAAACCTACATTTTGTCAGAGTAACTCAATTGTATTTCATGTATGGATGGAGCAAAACTGAGCAGGTAGGAAGAAAAGAAAGAGCTGGGGTATAAGAGAGGGTTTGTTTTGCCCTCTGTACGACTAATAGTGCTGGGAATGTCCCTGGTACAGTGCCTAGAAAAGAAACACTGGACTGACACAGAGCTCAAGCCCTGAAGCTCTGGAAGGAGCTGGAGGACTCTGGGAACTTTGTGAGAGCTCTCCATGACCTCAGGATTTAAATCATATTTCATTTTACTCAAATACTTTTCTTTGAAGCATCCTTTCTTGTTAGCACTAAGTGTTACAAAGTCTGCTAACTTGAGATTATCCACTCATATCTCAATTGGGTTTACATCCACTTTGCATTGGCTTTACTCTGCTTCACACAATTCCTCAATCTTCCCGTCATGCATATGAGTTTCATGATCTTTTTAGCATCTGGTAGGCTTTTTTTTTTTTTCCTACACAAAACACCCGAAAATGAACTCACCCAACTATTTTACATATATAAATAGGTTTTGCAATATGATCTTGTGTTAGTCACATTTTTTGTCTCCCTCTTTAGTTTTCATTTACCTGCAGGCTCCTGCAGCAGTGAGATCCACAGCTTAGATGTTATGGAGAATCTCACTTCACTCAAAGATATCCCAAAGAGCACACCCCTTTCCTGTTAGGAAGAGAAAGATCTGTTTAGGCTGTTTGTGGCACAAATCTGAGCAACCTGCCAACGGTGGAAAGTCTACATCCCTTCCACGCGATTTAGCCCTATTTCTCTCTCTTGCTGTATTGACAAAATAAGCCTTTCCAACTGGAGCTGGTTCTGCTCCGACACGGAAGGGAAGCTTTGTAGAACCAACAGGAGCACACTGAAGAGGCGGAAGCCCCAGAGATGAGGTGCAGCGCACCATGCCGACGCCCGGGGGCCCCAGGACACTCTGGTAGAGCCACGCGCGCCTCCAGCAGCTGCAGTACCGCCTTTCAGCCAGCGGGCGGCAAGAGCGGGCCCCACGAGGCTCCGACCGGACCGCCCCTCGGAAAACCTCAACAAATGCGTATAAACGCGCTCGTCCCCGCTCTAACACAGTTGCCGCGGCTGTAGGAAAGGCTGTGCTTTGCAGCCTGCCTCTAGAAGTGTCGGCCGTACCCTGAGAAATTGCACTCCCGTGCACGCCCTGCCGCCCAACGTGGCCTACTGGCACCCGGCTTGCCCCAGGCCTACCGCTCCCAGCATCCCGCGCGGCGCGGCGCTCCACCCTGTGCGCCGCCACTGCTTTTCCTTCCGCTTCCGGGCCGCGGCGCTCTCAGAACGCGCAGGAGAAGGGGGAGCGCAGCTGGGTACTCAGCGCCCGCCGCGGGTAGAAAACCGAGGCTGTCGGGCTCGTGCGGAGCCACGAGGGAGGACTTCTGTTTGACGAGGTTTTACCGTCTCTCGCATCGTGGTGTTCAACCAGGGTTGCATCCAAGCAAGGGCTGCCCAGATTTTAAACGCGGCAGGCTGCAGAATGGATGTGCTGACGTCCTTGCGATGAGCGTGCCCGTTGGGTGTAGGCAGAATCGGGCAAGCTCTGTCATCTGTCGGCATAGGAGAGCCAAAAACCAATGAGACATTCTTCGTCTTTGTTTCCATCAGTATTTTGCTGTCACGTGCCCAGCTCTCCTCACAGTTGGCTTTTGAATTACAAGCCATTTCACCTTGAATATATTAAATGGTATCACTGTAGGTCTTCAGTCCTGCACAGGTAAATAGACACCAGCTGAGTGAGCACAGCATGACATGTCACAGTGTAACTGTGGCACTCCCACCAGCCCTTGGACAAAGCTAAGAGAAGCTTGTCATTGCTCTCTGAGTTATTTGTTGTTACAAAAACTAAACAGCTTTTTTCCTTCAAAGACTGATAGTATGTTTAGTTTGCTTGTGCTGAAGAAATTAAGTGAAAAGGCAGAAACAGGATTAATTTACTGCTGAGATAAGGGGGTGGAGTTCTGATGATTTCAGCAGAGCTGTGCTTGCACCAGTAGGGAATTTGGACCTGAGGTTGAATGTTCATTTCTGAAAATGACAAAACATTTCTGTAGAAGCTATCCTAGCCATTAGCAAGTATATCTAGCTTCAGTACAATTTGGGGTGTTTATTTGCCTACGAGCAAGCATTCTTACTTGGTACTACAACTACCATATGTATGGGAACTGCTGAGTCATGGCCTGAACCTCTGATTGATCACTTGAGGCGAGCAATGAGTCAGCCACAGGAGCACAGGTGAAGGCAATTCACCTGTGCTGCCAGAGGCTGCACCCCTCCTAGACCTATTTAAGAGCTGGCTACCAGTGGGGAAGGATCTCTTCTGGAGATCTGCTCTGCTGGTGTTTTGTAAGTGAGCCCAGGATAGGGGTAAGCTTTCTATCTATTCTCTTTTTGTTATCATTAGCTGATTTGCCAAACTCTCTTATTTTGTAATTATAACATCTTGATATTCGTTAATTATATACCATAATACCTCAGAGGCATTTATTCTGTTCTTGAAAAACAGCAGCAAGGAAAACTCCTTCATGTTTCCATAAGGCTGCATAGTGAGCTAACAGCAGTCTGTAATACATAATGATGTGGAGCTCTTATTCTTGAATTCTTTTGTTACAGATTACTACAAATTACTATAAGTAAAGCAAGCACACTTACAGTTAAACACACAGCCTATAACAAGTTACTACAAGATACTCCTAGAAGGCAAATGTATTTACACAGTAACAGTGCATAAAGCTTTCTATATTATATTGAAAATTACCATTAGTAAAGCAACAAATATGACTACCTAGATATGTACCTGCCTGTATGCCAAGGGAATAGTGGTATAGCATTCACCAAGCCAGTCCCAAGAGTGGGGCCAATCAACAACAGACAAACTAATTCCAAAGGTGACCTGTGTCACTAAGCTGGGAGTCAACCATGCATTCCCAACACGGGTCCTGTCTTGTTTTGGAAATATATAAAAATTCTGTGCACAAGGAGGCCTCAGAGAGAGGTCTCATTCTGGGTAGAAAGCAAGTCCTTTCTGTATTACAGGTTTCATAGGACATCACTACCTGGAATTTTTAGGTATCCTGCTGCATTTCAAAGATACCAGTTGCACATCTCAAGGATTCTTCTGATTGCTAAGCCAGGCTCCCCTGTTACCAGACAGGGTATCTTCTGATGGTGTTTTTTTCAGACTTTTTCTTTATTTTTCCCATTAAGACAAGATCAACTTTATGGCTGCTCCCATCAGCCCCCACTTCACAGACAAAAAATAGAGATAAAGCCATGACTAAGAAGTATAGCAAGGACTCAGCCACAAGTCTGCACTGCCTTACCAAAGGAAATATAAGTTATACAGCATATGTCTGATAACTTAGAAAAAGAATTTATCATTGCAACTGAACTGGCAAAACACACATCTTCAATAAAAAGAAGAGCAGTCCTCCTTAAATTACCTGTATCTCATTGGCAGACTCAGTCCTGATTGTTCTCAGCACTGTTCCTCTTTATGCACCCAGCTTCTCATCCCTACCATTCACACTGTCCCCAGGAATTAGCACTTAGTTAACACACTAATTGATCTGAGTTTTAAAACAATCACAAATAGCAGAAGATATTAGCAGCACATGGGCTACAAAGGCAGAATCACAGCAACAACTCTGCACCCCAGATTCTAAGTCACTTCAGTGGGCTCGTACAGAATGTTAATGGCACAGTCGGCAAAGATCACACAGAAACACTTTCTAATTCTAAAAAAAAACTTTCTAAAAAAAAAAAACAAAGATTACACATTGCTGAAGCTTTCATCCAGTGCACAAAAGTGTTCCATCTTCCTGTAGACCAAGTCTCATCTATGATGGGTTGACATGTTTTTTTTTTCAATTTTGCATTTGAATTCAGTAATTTTTTTAAATTGTGTATTTATTTATTTATTAAGGACATATTCTAACTTGAATACGGTCTCAGGTTTTCTCTCAGACGAGAGGCATGGGTTTATAATGCTCCATGCCTGTTATATCCTTTCTTCCTATTTGCTCTTAAGATGAAGCAGTAGCCTTCCCATAACAGCAGGCTTTGTTTGTATTAACAACAACTAAGCAAAGATGAAACAGTTTGTTTCTAGTTTGAAACAGGAAATAAAATTTGCTAGTAGGCACAATAATGACCAGGTAACATACTGGTATCTGCACAGGTCTGCTTAAAAGCATGAATAGTGAGGGCAAACAGTAACTACTGTCCAAAAGCACACTCTTATTCCATGCAGATGCTAGTTAATTCTTTATCTTGAGATTTACAAAAAGTAAAGTATGGGCTAGCAAGAAGCTGCTCCTACCAATCCTGATAGCAGGCTCACCTATGGACATACACTATCAGAATGCTCTAAAGTCCTTAGATTAGATTAGTCCTTGGATGCTTGCCACAGACTGCCTCACTTCACTGCTTTGTTTTCAAAGCCCCACAAGACCACTGCAGCCCAGCTCTGAAATTCAACACATGAGCCATTTCAGATCAACAGCACAGAGTCTGGGAGACATGGGCTCTAGCATTCCTTCTTTATTGAATAGCTACTCAGTTTTAGATCAGGCACAGAGAAGCTGCCAGACTCTCAAAGCAACACCCTGATTTCATTTTGTTTAGTCATCTATTGATAGGACCTGGCATTGTGCACCTCATGCAGAAAGCCAGGCATCTGGTGAGCCAGGGCAGAGCAAAGGACAGGTTATTGCTGAGTCTTAAATCCCAGGTGCCCATAGCAAACAGGAAAAGCAATCCAAACTGGAATAAGTAAATAGTTGTAAAGCTTTGGAGGAGTGCTGAAGTGGTGCTTCTTTACGTTTATGAGTCTACAAATGACTTTCCAGCGATAGCACTGTTCGTGTTCTATATTCCTGCTGATCCTTAACATTCTGTAGGAGGTGGTACCCAAAGTAACATAGAAAAGAACAAGAGAGGAATAAGAACTGCACTTGATTATTCTAAAAAGCCACAGTCATTTCCCCACCCTTTGGGCTGAAGCGTGTGGGTGCACAAGAAAGGGGAAACCCTGTTCCTCACAGCTGCGGAGAGCACACAGCCAGCAGTGAGTGGTGCCAGCTCCTCCGCCCATCAGGGCTCCTATGCTCTGCCAGGAACAAGAGGTGTGTCAGCAAGAAGGCCTGGCAACAGCCTGCCTGCTCCTCACTCCTGTCTTTGGGACCGCAGGGCACGGTGATCAACCAGAGCATTATTTCCACTCGCATGCCTGGCGCTGCACAGCTGAGCCACGCGCAGCACAGCAGTGAATGTTTTCAAGTATTGCAACTTGTAATGTGCAATGCTTCACAATTCAAGTTCAAGGGCAAATTCAGATTGCGTCACTCACGTGCTGTAAATGGAGAGTGCTAGCAGCACAGTGTGAGCCACTAGGAACGTTCTGTCCTAGCTCACTTTGTTCTATATCTAAGATCCTTCACTGAGAGAACAAAACACAGCAAAAATCCACTTCTGTTTCCAAATAAACTACTTGAATAATCAAAGCCATTTAAAGTTTCTGGATGAGCAGAAGATGGGGCGCTGGGCAGGCTGACCTGGCGGGGGCAAGCAGCCCACAGCGGGGGTTGGGGCTGGCTGGCTTTAAGGGCTCTTCTGCCCAACTATCCTTTGATTCTATGATTCTATGAATAAATATTAACTGAAAGATTAAGAAGGCCCCTGAATGTGCTGAAGGCTGGTTGTTCAAGAACCCGACAGCCAAAGCTAGGCAGGTTTTGTCTAAATACTGGCTCCACTGCGAGTCTGTCGGATGGAAATGGAAAACACCCGACGTTCCGTGCTTCTCGGAGTGCCAGGATCCGATACCCGCGTCAACCACGAGCAGAAGCCAGCGGGAACGGCACCGCGGCATCCCACAGTCGCCCTCCTCCCGCCCCGCACCCGGGCCGCTCCCCTCAGGGCGGGGTGAGGGCGGCGGGGGGGGCTCGGCTGCCATCTCCGCCGCCATTGGGGCCCGCGAAGGGCCGGGCCGCGCCGGGACGGCCCCCAGCGCCGCATTGGCCCGGCGGCCCCGCGGAGAGGAGAGGCGTGGCGGGCGGGAGTAGCGGCCGGAGGGTTCTGGGGAGGTTCCGCCGCTCGCCTCCGGTTTCCCGGGTACGGCAGGAGAACACAGAGGAGAAGGTAAGGCCTCTCCTCGGCGCAGCGGGAGGAGGGAGTCGGGTTCGGTCGTCGTTTCTCCTTCCCTACCGCTGGCCGCAGCCCTAACGGGTGCGGCGGGCGGGCGTGGTATCGTCCTGCGGCCATAGCGCTGTGCTGGATGCTCAGCGTGCCTTGTGCGCTGCGGGGCGGCAGCCGCGCGTCCTCCGGGGCATGGGTGGGCTTCTGCTCTTTTCTCCTCTCGGTATGGAACGTTTCCATCTCCCATAAGGCAGCCTCGCTGAAAAGAGGGTCACCCTACAGCTTGGTTTACGGCTTAATCATTAACGCTAAGCGCTGCGTTTCCTCGTCTATGTATACAAACCATTCCTTTAGGTTAAATACTCGGAGGCTGACAGGATCAGACGGAGCCCCTCGCAGCAGGTTTCCCCCCGCAGCAGGTTTCCCCCTGCAGCCGGCTCCTTTTGGCTGCAGCACGCACAGCCTGTTTTTTTCCCACATTGGCCTTTCTCAGTGTCTGCAAGCGTATCGGTTTGGACAAGCTGTCCCCAGCCGAAAGCACAACTATTTACATCACTGCAGCCACAGCGTGGTTTCATGTTCCTCCTTGCAGAGACAGCTGAAGAGCCCAAACACCGTTGGGGTTCAAGAGTCATAGAATCATTATGGATGGAAAAGACCGTTAAGACCATCTAGTCCAGTTATCAGCCCATCCCCACCACGACCACCAGTAAGGTGGAAAAGGGCTTTTAGGAGGTATATCTGATGGAAACAAACCCGTTAATTAGCTCTGGATGTATCTTCTGATTCACACTACGGATTCTGGGAGCTCTAAATATAGCTAGTGTTTCTTCCTCATCTCTCGAGCTGACAGAAGTGCAGGTTTTGCGAATTGGCAGGCTTTCAGTTTTGTTGAGCTGTGCTTGGCAGGAGGAAATGAACGTGCTGTTGCTGCCAGTCAAGGGCAACAGGAAACAAAAAAAAAAAATCTCAAGGAAGAAAATCAGCTATTAACTACCTGCGAGTATAGTGCAATAAGGGTGAGATGTTGCAGACGTCCAGGAGTAAAATGGAAAATCACTCATAGTGGAAATGTGCCAGTTCATTCACATGGTGTCTAGGCCAAATTCATCCAGTGCAACAATATTGATTCCCAGTGTGTTTGGCATTGATTGAGTTGACTGTTCGTCTGTAAATGCTAAATAAACAAATATTTCCTCACCTAAGATACTACATTAAAGATAAACCAAGAGCATCCAAAACAACGTGCTTTGAGCTGTGCAAGCTTACTGTATGCCTACAGAATGTTCACATCACAGCCACTTTCTAATTAAACAAATGCTCACCAAGTTACCTTTATGAATGTTTTTGCAAGCGCCCAGTTTTTGTCTGTGATTTAAAGAAATGAGTGTAAAGCCATATTTCAAAATGCAGATGCAATTATGATTTGAATCCGGAAAACACAATGGCAAGGCACTCCAGTCCAGAATTATGTATCTCTAGGGTATGCATATTGCTCACTCTTTGCTGCTGGATTATGTCAGACCATCTGCCTTCTGCCATCTTATGTATTCTTAATCTCTTTATTATGGTATTGAATACTTTTCACTTACAGTTTTGCTCTTGGCAATTCTCCAGTACAAGCAAACATTTAGCAATAACAAGAGCAATCCCTCACTTAACTCTTAGCATGGTTAGTTACAGCGATCTGAAGGTCTAGGTCAAATCTGCCTGGTGCAACAACATGGGCTTACTACCAAATGCACCCCAGCTCTTTCAAGTTTCATCATTTAGGCTGTTACTCTGCAAATAACTAAGCAAATTGCTCTACATTTTTCAGCTTGCTAGTTGGATCAGTGTCAGTGAAATGTATCTGTGCTGAGCCAACTTGTGTGTTTAATACATCCAAGCTGGAAGAGGCATCTGAAAAGTCAATGGAAGATCTTGCTTCCAGGGATAGCTCAAGGATTTCAGGGTTGGGTAGTGAAGAACACCAGGCAGAATAACTAAAAGCTGCATGGACAGTGTTTTGTGAAGTTAAAGTGAGCAATTGTGCATATCTACAGATAGACTTAATGGTTGCTCTTTGCCTTAAAAAAAAAAAAAAAAAAAAAAAATATATATATATATTAAAAAATATATATATATATATTAAAAATATATATATATATAATAATATATATATTAAAAAAAAAAAAATTCCTTTCCAGTTCTGCTTTGATAAGTCTTATTCAGGTTCTGATGAAATGGGACAGAACTGAATATCATGTCTCCTGTGCAGGAATTCAGCTCTTTAAAATCAAAGCAAGTACATTTTTTCACACTCTCCACGATTCACAGCACATATGCTATAGCAATTGCTTGAGCTGTATGCATGATAAACTCATTCAACGACCTTACCTCATATTTCAACATTTTCCTAGTTTTGATGAGATAGAACAAAGTCATTTTTACTCTCATTAGCTCCTTTGCAACCTCTGAAAATAGGGGTATCACGATGGAGGTGGCCAGTGGAGCTGCCTTGCCTCAATTTATCTGCAGCAGTCCTCATCAGAACTGTAACTGTGGGCTGGTCTGTGCAGGATTGTTTCTCGATGAGTCATGCAGAGGCTCTGTAGCCTCTTCTAGGCAGTGCTGTGCTATGCACGATTAGCGGGCTCCCACTGTGAAATTGTTTCCTGAATGATGTAACTGATAGTCCCCCTTCCTGTGCTGATTCTTGATCAGTTTTCTCTTTGTTCTTGAAGACATTCCAGCTGCTGCATCTCTTTTATCCCTACGAATCTTTGCGAAGACAAGTTATGTCAACAGCTGCTTTAATCCATTTGGTAAGAAACGGAGGTTCTCAAGTACGAAGGAGAGCCCTGCTGACATCCCGCCTCTTGCAAGACGACAAGCGTCTGACAGTCGAGTGCTACATTTCCACCTCCGAACGCCGGGCATCCCGCTTTGATTCGGACGGGAGCGGGCGGCCCGCCACGTGGGACACCTTTGGCATCTGGGACAATCGCATTGATGAACCTATTCTCCTCCCACCTAGCATAAAGTATGGAAAGCCGATTCCAAAAGTCAGCCTGAGCAAAGTGGGCTGTGCCAGTCATATTGGGAAGCGGAAGGAAAATGAAGACCGCTTTGATTACGCTCAGCTGACTGAGGATGTCCTGTACTTTGCAGTATACGATGGACATGGCGGGGCGGCAGCAGCAGACTTCTGCGCTAAGAACATGGAAAGATATATCAAGTAAGTGTGTGTCAAGTGAACGCGCGGTTAATGACTTACTGTCGAGTCTCCCTCCTTACAACCAAAAGGGAATCTGTGCACCATATGTTGCTGCTAATCGTCCCAGGTTGTATAGCCATCTATTCCAACAGGGTCAGCAGGAACACAGCAAAGGAGTAATTCCCATTACAACAGATGTGGCGTGATGTACTTCTCTGTATGTTCCCTGCCTGGGGAGCAAGCCTGGAAAGACAAGAAAAGAAAATGTGATTGCAGGAGAGAGAAGGGAATACAGAGCATGTGAATTGCCTGTTATCAGATGGGGGTTATGTGATCACAGATTTGGGAGTTTGTTGACACTCCTTCCTAGCTCTCCGGTACTTGCCTGAGTGTTAGAAGAGGCACTTTATCTGTTCACAAAATCGGAGTGTTAAGCTTTCAGTGGAAGTCATTAATAAAGCAGTATTACCTTTTTACTGTAATCTAGCATTATTCAATGCATGCAGGGAGGAAATAAGTCTATGAAAGAGATTGATTAATGTGAACACTTCTTGGTAAGAAGTCTAATTTTTTTTTCATTATTTGTACCCAGGGAATTTGCTGTTCAGGAGGAGAACTTAGAAAAAGTTTTGAACGATGCTTTTCTAGAAATAAACAAAGCATACGAAAGGCATGCTCAGCTGTCTGCTGATGGTAGGTAAAAAAATATTCTACCCTTATGTGTGTGGGGAAAAAGGGATTGGTTATTTCTCAGTATTTTTGTACTAAGACTCCGAAAACAGCCTGAAAACTGTTTTACTTAATATAGGTTTTTGCTCTAATCACTTACCACAAACTAAACAATTGTGCTTTACTTCCCTAAAAACAAAAAAGCTGTTAAAAAGTCTAGGTCAAATTTACTGGTGGAGTTATTAATCTGGGCTTCAGCATAATCCACACTGAATTTATCTTAACATCATTCTGTCAAGAAAGGTGTTTGTCAAGTTAGCAAGGAGCGATTTAAATTGGCAAGGAACAGAATCTTCCTGTGTGAGAAACACTGTCTTCTTTGGGTTGTTTTTTGTTTCGTTTTGTTTTCACAGAATCATAGAATCATAGAATCACAAGGTTGGAAATGACCTACAAGATCATCTAGTCCAACCAACTTTTCTTTCTGAAAAGTTGCTATTCCTTTGAGTGGAAAGGAACACTGTCCAAAGTTCCCCTTTCTTACTTGGCTGCTGCAGCTGAGGAGGAATATAAGCCAGAAGTAATACAAACGGTACCACTTCTGCACAGAGAGAATCTCCAGAGCAGCTGAGCATGAAAGGGGAAACAACAGCCAAGAGGAAAACAAGATTCGCTGTGGTAAAGCTGGCACCAGCCCCTTTAGATTTCCTTAGTCCTGGCTGTTCACCAAATTCTTGTGTATATATAGAGAGAGACTATGCACATCTGAAATTCCAGTCACAGTAGCTGGAGCTTATAGGGTGTAATTTGGGAAGGAGATAGAGGAGTTAGTTCACCTAGTGTTTAAATAAATACAAAGAAAACCAAACCCAAACAACCTGTCCCAGTGCTGCTACAGATACTGGCAATGCAACAGGACGTTTAGGGAATGAAGTCACACTGTGTCCTTGGGGCTACTTCCACTTCCTTTAAACAATCAGTGAAAACAGTCTAGTAATGGAGTGGTTTCCTGCTCTTAAAGTGCTAACCAAACCTACCTAGGCTCAAGTACTTCCTGGCTGGACAAGTTGCCTGACTGTTGCAGCACTGTGAGGGATGTACAGCTTTCCTCTTACGTGGTAAGAGCTAACATATCAGAAAAGACAATGACTCAAGTTCTGAAACACAGCCCTTAAAAAGGAGGAATTTAATCTGTAAAGCTCATTTTTCCATTATAACCTATTTTATTTCTAGGTATGGAAAACCAGTCCTATTGTTTAAAAAGAATAATAATGGGGTAAAAAATCCAAAGTCATTTTTGACCTGTGAAGTCAGTTTTAACTGAGCTAATGATAGGGATATCACTAGAGCAGATGAGCTTTGAATCCAAGAGTCTCCTTGTAAGCCCAGATTTAAAAAAAAAAAACAACAAACCAACAAACACCTGAAGGCTTATGTGCTTCCCTAGATCACAACCTCTTATTTTCTGTGATTTGTTTTATTTGCACCCTGCCCAGTCCATTTGTTGTTAAGACAGCTCTTTATTTTGCTCATGTTCAAGTTTAAGAGCATTTCCTTGAGAAGGATGTTTGGGAACCATACTGGGTATACTGTTCTGTTACTCTGAATGTGGTTTCTGATTATAGCATTCTGTACTTGAGACATAATGAACTGAACAAGAAAAATATTTAACAAACAAGCTGTACAGCAAGCTGGGCATTTTGGAATTCCTTGTAGGATTTTATCATACCATTTAACTGACTAATCGGGGCTGCTCACTGAAACGTAATGCAAATGCCAGCAAATTTATGTAACATCAAGATACTGAACAAGCCTTCTGCATTAAAAAAGCGTGAGGACAAACAAAATGGAAGGGAAAAGCAATCATTGAACATCTACAGGGGCCATGTCCTACAAAGTACTCAGTGTTTCTTAGGGAGGCTGAATGCCTGCATATTCTTCCCACAGGAGCCAGTGGGATCTAAAAGTGCCCAGTGCTCTTGTCTGGTTGCCCAGCTGAAAATAAAGCTAAAAGGCAAAGAGTGGAGTAACAGGGTGTGCAGACAAGTGCAGTTTTCTGAACAAACAAGCTTTTTGCGTATCTGCTGATTAAAAAAAAAATTAAAAATTAAATGCTTGATTGACTGTTTGGTGTGGATATTTTTGTCATTGCTGCTCTTTTGAAAGTTATGTAAAATTCAATGTTTTGCATGTATCCTTGTTAGAAGACTAATTCCAAATTGATTCAGTTTGCCAGCAAAAATTCTGAATAATTGTGGCTATTCTAGATGTGATGGTCAAAGTTTCTCAGAGATGGTGGTCAGTGGTGTAACACAGGTTATCTGTCATACACTGGATGCTCAAGGCCAACCTCCTTTTGAATCCCTGCCGCAGCTGATGAAGTGCAGAAAAATAACTTACTTAGTTTTATTCCCACAGACAGCCCTGCCAGGGCTCCTTTCTCTGTATTCTTTAAAAGACAGGGTGGATGGTCAGGGTGTCCAGATCTTTACTGACACACAACCAGCTTTGAAAATGAATGCCTGGGTGTTTGAAGAAACATAATTGCCAGGACATGACTACAGGAAATCACTGTAACAAAAATCCATGAAATTTTGGCTAACACAATGCCTATGATGATATTTAGAGGGAAAAAAAAAAACATATGGCAAAAATTTAACAGGACTAGAACATGAATTGTTGGAGAACATAGCTTTGTCTTCCAGGACACTGAAGATTTATAATTGAAAAATATTTGAAATTAGATTTGAAAAACAAGTAGAATAATTCCTCGTTTGAGTTCTCAGTAAAAATAAAGGTCTATGCATGTGTTTCAGTACTGCTGCATGCTCGGTGTGTGCGTTCACTAGTGCTGTTGGACTGCTGTATTGACCTGCAGGTTGTTCCTGTATCCCCTCTGACAGTTTCACACAAAGGCATAAGAAACTTTCTTTCTGAAGCCATCTGCCACAGAAATAATTTCTAATCATTAAGAGGTCAGAGACATGCCTGAGTCTTGAAGCATGGTGTTCGATATCTCTTCAGAAACTCATTTTCATTCACTTCCACACATTCAGATGTACCCAGTCACTGTCGAATCACTGCCAAATTAACATACAGGACACAGTAAAGGAAGTTCCCAATCAACAAATACATTATTATCCAGGGAACAAACGCTAACAGAGATGGACAGTTTTCTGTTACATTGGACCAGCAGTAAAAAGCTAAATGTAAAAGCTGAATAGCTTTCTTGAGTAAGGATGGATCTAAACAACTTATCATGCTCGAGGAAAACAGGACATTGCTCTGGAGAAATGGAAAACAAACCCTGCCCTGGCCTAGGGTGGTCTTGAAGTGTAAATGCTGCTGCTTCTGTTCACCGCAGGCACCATCCACCACTGAGGGAAAATAACAGGCAGGCAGTGTTTCCATCAGCCTCCATGTTCAGTGCATCTAGCTCTAATCACATTGACCACTCACTTCTGGAATAGCCATCTTGTTAAAACATAGCCAGGTGTTACCTGATGTGTCTACAATTGAAGGGACCTCCTGGAAATTTAATGTGCTGAGCAAACAACAGAAGTATTTTTAAAATAATTATATTTACAAAGTAGTATTCAGATTTTTTTTAAGTTACTGTTTGAACATGTGATTACTTTTTCTTTGAATATGTTAACCTGCAACACTGAGGAAAAGGGAGAGCTGCAGAAATGGTTACTTACGTATTTCACAATGCCATCAATGTCACAAAGACCACTTTTTTATCCAAAGGTCTCAATTATTACCAAATCAAGTTAGACAATACTAATTACGGTATGATGGGGGTGTTATCGCATGTTTGCCCATGGATCAGAAGGGGTCATTCAGTGTCTTCATTAAAATGGCCTCATTTTAGTTGGCACAGGTATGAACTCTCAATTTTTATTTCATTTATATATATGTATTTACATATACAAACTACCTTGGGAAAATGGGCCACATTATGTTTTGAACATTTTCTGTAAGGTGACCACTGTCATATGAGACAGTCATATCTGGCATCAGTACATTTATTTGGATGACTTTTTAACTGGACACTCGCCATCAGCCCCGCAAAACAAATCTGTGGCCAAAGATGCAGTCTCTACTATGGCCAAATGGAACATTACACAGCTCATCCAGGCCCTTCCTCTGTAGAAGACACTGTGGGCAAACCCAAAATGACTACGTGCCCTGTTTTGCAGCCCTTGTCCTTTCATCTCCAGTGTTGCAGGTTTATTTTGTTTGAACAAAGTCCCTGGGTCAATTTCCTATTTGCCTCTGTGTACGTGTTATTTGTGGCAGACACTGTACCTGGTCAGCAGCTCTAGAACTGGAGGCCCTGGACGCTATATGCTGGGCTTCAGTGGAAAGAGAGATCTGCTTAATTTTGTCCCAGGTGAAGGAGTCCGGCGGTTCCTAGCCTGGACTACTGGAAGGTTCCCACATCCTCTTTGTCACATTAGTTGAGATGACTTGCAGTAAAAAGTGTCCAGTGAGTGTTAAGAACCTATTGAAAGATCTTAGTTTTATAGTGATATTGTTAGGTAAACAAGATAAACTCTTTTAATTTTAAAAATGAGTACATGTGCTGATGCAATATATTTTTGTGTTATTAAATATCCTAGCAGCAGTCATAGTAAAGCATTAGAAATGTTATCCCATCGTCACTGCTGTGTTTTGGAACTGTGAGAGAAGTCACATCATCCCTTCAGTCTGACCAGATCCACGTTCTTTCACCCCTATGTGAATGGTGATTCAGTTTCAGAGAAGAAAGCGTGAGCGGCATTTGTTTTCCTCAGAGTGCAATTTAAGAAGCAAACATTTATAAGACAGAAGTTGGTACAGCCATTACCACAGCTCTTTGTTGCATCTTTGATGGGTCTTCAATACCATCCTCTGCTTCCTGATAGCAGGCCTGTTGGCTTTCTGATTTGGCACTGTGAAGATGTACACTCGCCTGAATGACCAAATGTTTGTGCTCAGTCATGAATTACAGACCTCAGATCAACCTATTCTGAAACCTGATGTGTTTGTCAGCATAGTTCCAAAACAAGTGATGAGATGGGAAACTAGTGGCATTAATTTTAATGTTTAAGTAAAATATATTTTCTGCAAAGTGAAAAAGGCAGTTTTAAGTTCATTTTACTTCTTTTAGCTGTTGGCTAAAACAGGTATTTTACTGAATTTACTAAAATTTCTAATCACACCACTACCTGTTATTATCTTATTTTATAAAATATTTTAAAACGAGCCTGTACTTGCATAGTCCTTGCTTTAAAGTAGAAACAAGATGTCAGTGCTTACCTGAATGCTCAACAGACTACTGGCATCTATGTGGTTTTGAATCTTGTAGTCTGTATCACAGCTGTAACATAGACCAAGGTGCATCCTGTGTCACCATGGTGAACATTCACTGTGGACTTGTTGGTTAAGTCAGTTAACCAAGTCACCGCAGCAGTAATAATACCTGTTTTAATAATAACACAAGCTTAGTTTAGATGGCTTTGTGAGGTATTTTTTTTTTGTTTCATCAACGCACTGCTTTCATCTGACAGCAAGGCTCCATGCACCCAGCAGGGCGTTGTGCTGCCCACCCCAGTTCCTTCCACCATCCCAGGTCAGTGCCACAGAGCCAAAGGCAGGAGCATGTGTAGTGCAGAGCTCTGCAGAAGTGGTGGTGGGAAGATCTTCAATTGTTACTCATGTGAAAATAGCAATATAGCTAGGGATTCTCATTGCTAAGACCCAAACCTCTGTCTGGAAGCTACCTTTTAAAACCTGTTACTGGAACACCTCAGTGTGCAAGAAGCCTCCAGAAGGCCTTTCAGAGGCACTTGCATGGGCTGTGAGTTCTGGGCAAGACTTGTTCCCAACTTGGCTTTTTGCTATAAAAGCTCAAGTTAGCAGGAGCTAGTGCTTTCCAGCAGAGAGATTGCTCTCCCTAACCAGTGCAGCATGTTTTGCAGGAGGAGATGCTACCTACAAAAGTGGGTTCTTCCTTTTAAACAGTAAGCAAGCAAAAAATGAGGGCTAGGCAGTTCTTCTGGCATTTCTTTCACTGCGGATAAATCTGCACAACTTCTCTGAAACAGGCAGACAGACTCGTTTTTCCTCTTTTTAAGCACGGGTTTTATTTCCCCTAAGCAAGTTTGCTTGCAGTAGTCACTGCAACCAGGTCCATAAAACAGACAGCTTAGACCATTCCCGTGCCCTGCAAGAGGAGGAAGCCAGCAGCTAGGGCTTCAGCTTGCCCTCTAGGCAGCAAATGTCAAATGATCCCACCAGCATACAAGGGCAGATCCCCCAGAAGCAAGCACAGCTGCCAGGTGACTTGCACTCATTTTGCATTGCAATGCAAGGCAAGGCGGAATCCAGCTTTGCCTTAGTGCTGCAACCTCCAACAAATCTGCAGGGCTGTAAGAGAGCAGAGTCCCCTTCTCAAAAAGGGCAGCACTTGCGGGCAGAGCCCTTTGTCTCTTGACAAGCCAATGGGAATGAGAGGGAGATTATTAATAACAACAGCAACAGGAGAACTCCACAGACTGCAGCCAAGAAGTGATCTGGAGGTTTTCTTCTGCTGAACTACATGCAGCTCCAATTGCAATTACTCAGCCACCCACTTCACTGCCTCACATGAGGGGAGAACCATCAGCATTCTGGTGGGCTATCAATGAGCTCACTGTGCATAGGGATAAAGACAAGAACCTGTACCTTCAGAGGAACTAGTGGGACTGAAAAGCTATTTGCTACAACCTGAAAAGAAGCCACTGTGTCTCATCCTGCTTTAACTCCACCCGCCCTCTTGCATGGAGCCATGCTGTTACACAGAAACGCTGACACTCTCCACTTTTTTCCCTCTCTGTCTCCCCATCCCAAGTCCTGTATGCATGTTTGTTTGCTTTTTTTTTTTTTTTATCCTTATCTATAGCTTTAGTTTAAACTTAAAAACAATTACTTACTAGTAATGTAGAGCACAAGTTGTCTTTGTCTTAACCAGTCGACACTGTTGCTCTGTTGTAAATGGTCCTGTGCTTTGAGGCAGTGATAAAACCTCTCTCTCTGATATGACATTTGTAGCAACTCTGATGAACTCTGGGACCACTGCAACGGTGGCCCTGCTGCGGGATGGTATTGAGCTGGTAGTGGCAAGCGTGGGTGACAGCCGTGCCCTGCTGTGTCGAAAAGGAAAGGCCATGAAACTCACCATTGACCATACACCAGAAAGGAAGGAGGAGAAGGAAAGGTACCTGTTGGCTCATATTGTGGCTTTTTGGGGAACAGCCTCTGTCAGGCTATCCTGCTGCCAGGTTGGTCCTGGGAAAAAGGCTAGAGCTGAACATAACAGTCCAAGCTGGAAAAAGTGGCACAACCCCAGTTAAGTCATTTATTTCCATTTCAAGAACTGGGGATTTATAAAGGCCTACATGAACATAAACTGTCATTGCAGTAAAACCAGCAGAGCTAGGACTGGGTATTGAGCTGTAACCACATGGTTCAAAGACTCATCCAAGAGTTCCAAGAGATATCCAAGATGTGAAGAAATGTGCTGTAGTTCCCAGGGCAGCACTCTGCCCTCTAAATCCTATCCCTTCTGTGGAACCCTTCAAACATAGCCTCTCAGCTCAGGTCCATGGTACTCCGTCTCACATCAGCAGATAGTGGTAGAAACTGCAGCTACAGACGGGGGGAATGGTCTGAATCTGTAACTCATCTTCGCTTTCTCTCTTGTGCCTCCGGACAGGATTAGGAAGTGTGGTGGCTTTGTTACCTGGAACAGTTTGGGACAACCTCATGTGAATGGTAGACTTGCAATGACGCGGAGCATAGGAGATTTGGATCTTAAAAACAGTGGTGTGATAGCCCAGCCAGAAACAAAAAAGGTTCAGGTAAAAGAAAGCCTGGTTTACAGGGACGGCAATTGGATTAAGGGGGCAACAAAGCTATCTGAAGCAGGTGGTGGTACCCACACAGTTTGCTCAGGTGAAACCACACGACCAAGCTTTGGTTTTCACTTGTGGTGAAATAACCCACAACCAGCTCTACGTAAGTTATCTCAGATTGACACTAATAAGATAGGAGAGAATCAAGTCCTGACAGGAAAGTCAAGAAGGTTAACTTCTGAATCCCTGTTATCACAGTATAACCTACTTTCAATGTTAATATTGGTACAAAGCAATCACTGAGAACTAGGTGGGATTTGGAAGAGCTGGGTCACCAAGGATAGCAGAATTTGTGGCGGGTTACATATTTGAGAGGAAGGGGGAAGGAAAGGGCAGTTGCATGCATCTTACCATAGCTTTGCAATTGTCCAGGAAACAGATCAACCACCCATAACGTATTCAGCACAACTGCATTCATGTTTTCATAAAGAGAAAAAAAAAGTACCTCCTCTCAACTCACATGTTTTGACATTTTCCCCTAATGGATGAGGATAGTGCTCATACAAAAAGCAAGAGAACAGGCAGCACTCCCAGAGAAAAATACTTTGCAACAAAGGGTAAAAAAAACGAAATCAAGGCAGCAGTTTTACCTGGCAGCACTCTCTTCACTGTTGTGCATACTTCATACCTTTATTGCAGTTGCACCATGCAGATGACGGCTTCCTAGTCCTTACTACAGATGGTATTAACTTCATGGTGAACAGTCAAGAGATCTGCGACTTCATCAACCAGTGCCACGATCCCACTGAAGCTGCCCACGTTGTTACTGAGCAGGTAATGCTAGGGTTACTTGAAGCATCAAAGTGCCAGATCCTTGCAAGGACACAGGGACATCATTTCAATTAATGGGCTTAGTTCTTGGTCCGCAGACCTGCTGAGTATGTAATCAGTGTAGACAGAAACCACCAGTTTCATATTGGAGGTTTTGGACAGTGGTATATCCATGGAAAGCTCTGAGGTGTGCAAGAGCCTGCAGTGTTGGAGCTGGGAAGAAGCAATGAAGTCTCAGAGCATGCTGTCCCATGTGGAGTCAGAGAGCTATTTCTCTTTCTGAGCAAGACTGACGCTGACAAATTGTTTCTTCCTTCAGGCAATACAGTATGGCACTGAAGATAACAGCACGGTTGTCATAGTGCCATTTGGAGCGTGGGGGAAGTATAAAAATGGCGACATCAACTTTTCCTTCAGCCGCAGCTTTGCCTCCAGTGGGAGATGGGCGTGAAGACCTGACACAGCTATCTTTTCCTGCAATAACATGGATACAACGTGCTATAAGAGAACACATCCATCTGTTCATAGGTTGACTCAGTGTCTTGTCCATCTTTTCTGTTGCCAGTTATGGAAGATGCAACTGCTCCTTTGGTGCGTAATTGCTGCTTACAGCTGATCACATTTTACTGTGTTTATTTATTCAGATCAGCATTGGGTTTCTAGGCCCAGCAGTTCTGCACATCATTTCATTCGCACAGACAAGTCTCTGGGCTTGAGTTATGACACATCAGTTTCATCCCAACTCTTGTTACCTAGTACTCAGTTACCTGGCAGCTGTGAAAGTCCAAGACTGAGCCATGCGCCATCTTCTTTGTACGTTAATACACAGGGGAACAAACGCAGTGTTCTTAGAAAGACAAAAAGGGAGTCTGTTGTTTTCCTCTGTCATGTAGCCATCCACAGCTCCCCCATGTTTCACGAGAAACGGGTGAAATACAAGGAGGAAATATCAGAAGTAATTAGCCTGTGGTTATGTTCTGGTGCCAGGGGCATTCCATGTAGCTGAATGGCATCCCAATAGAGCACTTTGCTGGGCTTTAGGCTCTCTCTGGTATTACCTGTGATGCTTCAGCTCCAAAGAGACAGAGCAAGCAGGAGCCACGTGCTGTTGAACAGATGGGAACCCATTGGGCCCAAAGCCCCTACAGTCGCAGTGGACCATGCAGCCTCTGGCACCATGCTTCCTTCAGCATAATGGTGCCTGAAAAGAGCACGTAGGAGGAGGAAAAAAAAGCAGCCCACTTTATAATTTCAGAGACCATAATCAATTTGAGTATTTGTTTGTTTGGGTTTTTTTTCCTAAGAAAAGGAAACTGTTTCAAAGAGCTTTCAGTTCAAGATTCTTTGGATGTATGAAACAGTAGAGTTTATTTCTTCATATGCAAGGATTTTCCTGCCCTCTGCCTTTTTTTTCAGCTAGCTACAGTCTCCTGCTGGCATAAAGACAGCTGTAAAATGCCCAAAGCCAGAAAGCTAGAGAAAGAAGAGAATATTTTAATAACATATGGCAATTTTTGTTAAGTTTTGGGTGTTGTTTCCACCAGGCATCAAATAGTTGGTCACCAATAGCAGCTTTAAAGATTTCATTTCTCTTTCTGGTGGGAGTCTGTGTCCAATGGGGCACAAAAGGCCAGAGCCCTGAGCCAGCTCGGTGTTGCTGTGATACAAACTGCTGGTGACACATCAACAGCAGGTCCAACTTTCCACATACCTCTTTCGGCCCCAGTTCTCCCTCACTCAAAATCAGTCGTGCATCTCCTGTAGCCTCCAAATTGCCCCATTGTGAGTAAATATGGGCAGAGAAAAGTCAGGCTTTTCCCATGTAGATTTTGTTCCATGTTTCCAACAGCACAATTATTTAAAAAGAAGAAAAAAGCCAACTGACAAGAACAAAATGCGATGCCTGGTCCGATTCTCATTTTCCAGTGTGTCATCTACATCTTTTTCTAGCCCCTTCCAGGCCCATGGTTACAGCACAGTCATTTCCATGTGTTCTTCTGGCTGCAGGCTTGGGAGCACCCTGCAGGTCACAGCACTGTACTGACAGCATTAATGCTCTAAGTATAGACAGTACCTTGGTTGTGTCCCATCACTTGGTGTATTTATATGGTGCACATAATGTGCATATTCAGTTTATGAGTATAAAGAGGTTGTGACTCACTATTTGTAAGTCTCTATTGTGTTTGGCGCTGTTGCCCAGGCAGGCACGTTTAATGAGCACATCCATCACTGGTTTACAGTTATAATACCTTCTTTCTTCTCCAGATTTCCCCAATTCTATCTTCACTTGAGATCAAAGTTTTCAGTCTTGGTCTCTGCCTTGCTTACTGGAGGCAAAAGGCACTTTTAATTGATAACCTGCAATTTGCACCCTGCACAACCTGTTTGTAGCAAAAGCAGCAGAACGCATCCTCTCCTGAGCACTTGCAGAGAGGCAGCACCTGACAGAGACTCAGTGAGCTGTTCCAGCAATGCCATTATGACCTGTTTGCACTGCACAGCTGACTCCTGCTGAAATAGCAAGTGGTCCTAGCTAAGGGTTAACCACACCACAGCCTTATTCTGGGCCAAAGAAGGGCTACAGTCAGCTTTGGTTTCAAGTGTCAGACAAACATGAGCAGCAGAGCCAGGATTTGGACATGTCTCATCAACACTGCTTGGTGCCAAATGCTGCTCATTCCTGTTTGGCCATCCATCCAGCTAGCCAGGCAAGATATCAGGCCTCCCCTGAGGTGTTTATAACAAGTATACGTTGATTTTTTTGAGCTGTGCTGGGTACTCGCCAACCTGAATACGTGGTATCAAATGCAGGGTGGTAATGAATAGCACCTGCAGGTGCTCTGAGGAATGGCCTGGGCTGATGGAGTATCTTCTGAGCACTGATCAGTATGTAAAAAGAAGTCATCTTTATACTTGAGGGAGTTTGGGAGCATATTTTTTGTGTTATCCCTATCCAGTTCAAGGCCAAGTTGGATGGAGCCCTGGGCAACTTGATCTCACACGTGGTAACCCTGCCTGTGACAGGGAGGTTAGAACTTGGTAATCCTTGAGGTCCCTTTCCAATCTGAGCCATTCTATGATGCTATGGTATCCTAATTTCATAGAGAATGGAAGTGGTTGAGTGCTTCTATTTCCTCCAGCAGACTGACTGTCCTCTCAGAGGAAGGATCCACCTATAGATGCACATATATTTTAGAAAGGAAGGGATAAGACAAAGCTTTGCAAAATAGAAGGCAGTTAGGTAAAGATATGTTGGCAGTTCCTATTACTGCTTTTAAACAATCACAGAAAAGCTGTGGTTGGAAAGGACATGGTGATGTCATCCATCCAGCCTACTGCTCAAAGCAGGGCTCATTTCAGAATTATGTGCTGCAGCAAAGGGGCATGCATCTACTGACACTGGACTATAGACTGAAATGGGATGGGAAGAAAGAGATAGGCATGAGAGCAGTCTGCCTGCAGAACCAACTTCAATGTGTTCTGGTGGAAGCTTACCAGTAGGTGAAAACCTACAAAGTGAAAACTTTGTATGGCTACTAATAAATGTCACAAATAAATTAGCACATTCATCTAACAGATACGAGCTGGTTTTTCTAAAAAGCAATAAGACAGGAGATTACAAAGACACATTTCTTATTCCCTGGCTGTTCCCTACAGTTTTCTGCATCTGTTTCTGAAGTAAACAAGCTACTAATGAAGGCAGATTGCTTTGCCAAGTGGCCCATTAGTCTGCCCATTCCTCTTTCTATTGCTAAGTGTCGCTTTCACTGGTTTGTATGAATTTCTGCCTTCATGCTGTGCACTGCCAGACTTTGAGTACATCAGAAACATCGTTTGGTGCAGACCCTCTGTTACCAAAATCTTTCTCTTCCCAAACAACAGCCTCGCCTTTTCTTGCATATGTAGTAATCTCCCTTTAGATTTATCTGTACCAAGCCTTGTTTTTCTCCAAGTCACCAGGAAAAACCTGCACTTTCCTGTGTGATTGGTTTTTCCATCATTTGATACTTCTTAATGAAGAAGCATTAGGACAAGTCACAGGAATTGCATTTCAGTCATGGGGCTGTTTTGGCACTGACACTGGCAGAGTGAGCCATGAGTGCAGGTGTATGGCACCAGCATTCCCTGTGTGAAGTATGAAGTCGAAGGAGTAAAGCCATGCCAAGGCAAATGGAAACAGCTTATCAAAAGTATTTCCTTACCTGGACACTCCTCCTGGACCAGTGCTGTTTCTCATGGTAGAGGTGCTGCAGGAGGAAGGGGCTGGAACAGCTTTAATACAGCATCCTCTGACTAGTCAATCCTTTTTGGTTTGAAAAGCTCGGGGTTGGTGAAGAATTGTGGAGCAGAGTTTGTGGTTGAGAATAAGGGCGGAGTGAGAAATTGGCAATATTACCACTTTTTTTTACCAATTTGGAGAAAATTCTGAAGATCTGGGGCTCACTGCAAGATTTCTGCTGATGGAGGAATCAGATACTGGATCAGCATTTCTGTCTCAACACACAATGTGCTGTTTTCAAAGGCACAGAATTTCTAGCTAAAGCAGTAGCACAAAACAGATACCAGTTACTCTGGTTTAATATTAATTTCTGTGGAATAGAATCACGTAGGAAGTTCTAGGTCCATTGGTCACTTACCCAATAAGCTGAGCATATGGCAGAGCACTCCCCTGCAGTTTCCTAGTTCTGAAGCTGCTGTTCTCCTGCTCTTAATGCAGAGGTACTAATGGGGATTCCCCTTTGCCCAGCATGTTAAGTGCTTGGGCAGCGGAGTGTGTCATAACTTTTACAGACTGAAGTGCAATTGTGTACATTCACTGCATACTTTGCCTTAGGACAGTCTATAATTCCTGATGTTTAATGTTTATTTTTGGTGTAATCAGTGACCATAATTAATCTACTACTTCATTTTACTGAAGTTTTTTTTTTTTTTCTTTTTAAACATTTGTTTGTCTTCAAATTTGTGACTCAAATCTACAGTGGGACAGATAAGGCTGTACTGAAATGCTTAAATAAAGACCTCTAAATAAATAATCGGCTTTTCACTCTGAATGTATTTTTCTTTTCCAAGCACACTGCCAACCACCAAAACTTTGTTTCTCAGGCTCTGCCATGACTGTCCTGTGAGCCCCAGCCCTTTGCCTCTGCCATAAACACATTCACCAAGGCTCTGCCTTTCAATTAGTGCTGAGGCACGGGCTGCCCAGAGTAACAGTGGATGCCCCATCCCTGGAAGCACTCAAGGCCATGTTTGATGGGGCACTGGGCAGCCCGACCTGGTGGGGGGCAACCAGCCCACAGCTGGGGGTTGGGACTGAGCGGGCTTTAAGGTCCGTTCCATCACAACCATTCTATAGTTCTGTGATATGATACGACACAAAGGCATTCACCAGCAATAAGTGGTACGAAGTAGCCGTCTCTGTGCTCTGTCAGCCTTCACTACAGCTTTGCTTCATCAGGGCCATGTGTTCTAACTTGATATTTCAGACTCGTATATTTTCATATATTACAATACCAAGAAATCAAAATGCCATCTCTCTAAATACAAGTTTGCCTTGAAATATAATTTTGTGAACCAGGAAAGCACTTGAAGTAGCTGTCAAGGAGAGCAATTTCACTCTGCGACACAGTCAACACAAGAAGATGTTTTGACTTCTACATCAATTCGGTCATGGTGGGGATGGGTTGATGGTTGGACTTGATGATCTTACTAACCTTTTCCAACCTTAGTGATTCTATTATTCTATTACTTCAGAACTTTTCAGTTACTCAAAAGCAAAAAAAAAAAAAAGGTGGGGCAGCAAAGACTGGCCGAGAGCTTTAGTTTTGCTGCAGAAGCAACACTGGGGGAAATGCGACAACTTATTTTTGATTTTTATTTTTCCTACAGCTGAACTCAAATCTACCTTGATCATAATCTCACCTTTCACCTTCACTTTCTTTGAAGGAGACTTGAACAAAGTCCTTACACTTCCCTCCCATTTAGGACTAATGCAAGTCCTTTTTTGTCATCCTTTATTGCCATTCCATTTCTCATCTCGTTTAGGACCTTATCAGTTTTAAGATACCTGCATGTACTGAATACACAGTGCTAAGGGTCCTGCTGCTTCTGTAGGTGAATTTTCAGAGCTCAGGCACCATGTGAAGAAACCTGCTGGACAGCTTTAAGCTGCTGCCCTTTCCTCACCATTTGGCAGCAGTTGGGAAATAGCTACCAGGTTACTCCGCAAAGGTTACTCTGTAATCAGAACATTTGTCCCATAATGAGTGCCCCTGTGACCTGCTGGTTAATTCCCACTGGCAGGAGGGGAGAGGCTGAGCGCTGACAGCAGCGTGGCAGTTCTCTGCCATATGTCTCCAGGACAAGCAGAGGAGAGCGGCCAGGCATTATAGAAGGCAATGTGTGCTCTGGCACAGGGCACTCGGAGAAGCTTTAAGACCCCTGCAACCCTCCCCTAAACTGACCATCTGACAGAGACTCCCCAATGCTGGATGTTGTTTCTTTTTTTAAACACATACACCCCACAAGTTATCTGTAAATATATTAAATAGCTCTTTGCAATTCAGCACCAGTACAAATTTCTACTAAGACCATCTCCTCCGTAAAATTGCTCTCTGTTCCTGCTCCTAATATTTCTATGATTCCAATCCTTTCCTGCTTATTTGAACAAACAAGTGCCAGTATGAGCTACTAGTGAAGATGCAGACCTGTGATGCTTAGGGATGTGAGCCAGTTCCAGGGAAGATCAAAGACATCTCTCCTCCTTGGACATTATGAGTAAATCACTTATAACTAGCAGACCCCATGACTGCAGAGTGTCTACAGTAAGCCTTTGGGCTTTTGTTCTTCAGGAAATAAAATCTGTCAAAGTCTCCAGTTCCCAGAATCTGCAAGGCAGCAGCCAATCCAGAAGTTATTAAAAGTTGACAACATGTGGTTTCTGACAGGTCTGGTAAGCCCTGGAAAGCTTGCTTAAGTAACAACTGCCCGTGGCCACAACCTGGCTCATGCTGAAACTTAGTTTGCTTTTTCAATGCACAGCTCTCTCTGTGCCCATTAGCTAAAAGGAGCAATCCCAGAATGTATTTCACAAACACTGCATGGAAAGCAGTGTTTTTACTACTGCATTTTCTGGTGAACTTGTTGCTACAGAACCAAGCACATCAAGGTCCTACCCTCCAGCTACCGATTTGGAGGTGCTGCACATAGCCTGGCACTCACTGGGTAAGAGAAAGGAGACTCTGCAATCAGAACAGAGGGATCCCTCAGCAGATAGCGAGGCATCAGCTGTACCAAAGCTGAGGAGAAGGTGAATTTAAATGCAACCTGCACATGCTTTCCCTCCCTTGGAGACTCAGTCTCAACAGAAGCTTGGTGTTTTACCAGAGGAAAGCAGAGTTTTCAGCTCTCAGAACAGCAAGTGTTGTCTATGGGAAGCCTCAACCCACTCTGAACATCTTTCACTTTCCTCTTCCTTGAAAAAAGCTGAGGAATCCATCATGCAGAGCCACATGATTTCCTTCCATTAATGCCACATCCTATGTGAAGCTGGGCAGCCACAAAGAGCCCCTGCTGACAGACCAGACCAACAATCATCCTCTTGAGACTTCTACAGGGCATCCAGCAATGCACAGCCACACACCGTACCCCTAGCACAGCCACGTCTTTACCCCTAGCAGTAACATCCATCTGCATCCCATTGGCATGGCACAACCTGGGCTAGTCCCCTACAGGCTGGCAGCCTGTTCACCAGAAAGAGCTGCAGTTCCAAAGGAAATTAAACAAATTCAGTGTGGAAATGAACTAGCAATACTTCTTCCAGCTGACTGCAGGCGCATCACAAGGGAATGCTGATCTGATGGATCTTATCAATATAATTTTATACTAAGAAAGTTAACAAAATATATAGCACAATATTATTTCCCACATCTGGAAAGGCAACATGCAAAAAATATCCACTATAATGCACTGAACCTCTCTCAAATCTTTTTTTTTTTTTTTTTTAATTTTAACATCATATTTTGTAGCTAGTGCAAATGGTGATAATTCACACAAAGGAGACTACAACTCGGATAGCTTTGTGGCTGCGTAGGAATTACCTCTTCAGTGTGTTACCTGTCCACTCCATCACTGTTTGTTCTGCTGCATTACTGAGAGAAGCAGGAGGAAACATGTAGCCAGTCGTCTCCAAGCCGAAGTTTTTCAGCACCAAAGCTTTACCTATGAGCAGGTTTGACCAAGTTATCATGCTGCCATTGGCAAACTTTCAAAAGAATTAATCTCCTACAGCAAGAAACAGAATGGAGGCTACTCCTGAAATAAGGCACGGTCACTAGCTATAAAGACTGAATCAGTGGGAGCACGTATCGGAGAGATAAATAAAAGTTATAAAAATTACTCATGGCACTAAAACTACAGGTTCTTCATATTATTCAGAACACTACTGGAAATTGAGCACAGGTCCGCTAACTTCAATGAGGTACAGATCCATGAAGAAGGCCAGCACATTTTTGCCAATGAGAAGAAAATGCTGAATTACCATACAGCAAGTGGTTCTGCTGCACAAACCAGCCTGGAGCCGCAGATAAGAGGGCATTTCTACTTGACAACCCCAGACCTAGCACCCTGACTCCAGAGCACTCTACTGGCTCAAGGTGCTCTCTGCTGAAGCTCCTTTGTGACCTATTCTGTGGCACCAGAGTAGCTAGGCTAGCTACAACTGCAAAGAACACTTAATACACTCTAAAAACTCCCCTCCCGCCACACAAAGCTGTTGTGAAATGAGTTTATGCTGAATGCAGTAAACACAGGTGGTTAATAACATTGCTTGAAGGTACTTTTATCTTACAGCTAAAGAAATCACTTTCTGACGAGCACTAAGAATGCAGTGAGTTCTGGTGTTAATCAGCTAAGGAACATGGCAGGTCCAGCTGCAACAAAGCCTGTTTTTTAACTGGAGAAAAACTGTTAGCAACCAGCATTGCCATGCAAGTAACCATCACAACAAAATCCCACCTTCTTCAGCACTACCAAATTAGAAAAAATTATACAAAGGCGTTGAAGGGGGCATGGTGGTGACGGGTTTGAGGTTGGACATGATTATCTCTTAGAGGTATTTTCCAACTGTAATCGTTCTATGATTCTAAGCATTAGTAAAATATTTCAACATTTGGGGATCTTAAGCTGTGTCTCACCAGATAAGGTCAAGTCCTGCTCTAGCAGTTGTCCTCTCTCCTTGGAAAAGATGACTTAAGTTTTCAATACTTCCTCCTCTTGAAATGTCCTTATGGAATGTGACTTAGATTATTCTTTACTGTCTGCCTTCTCTTTATCAGTACAGCTTATTCTTCTAAAAAACTGTCAACACTGCTGGCTTCCCACTCGCTACAATGACACTCTTAAAGAAAAAAAAAAAAGATTCACAATTTTACATAGCATCACTGCAGATGACTGTACTTGGGTTCAGAAAGCAAAACGATATCAAACAACAAGTTTACTTGTGTGGAGGATAAAAAAAACATGGTACTCATCAACTACCACTCCCATTTTAAAAATGTTTATTCAGCTGCAAATGTTGTTTATTTCCAACAAATGCAAAACAGCTTTTTGGTGGTAAATAGCAGGTATTTATTTGAAATGAAAAAAATACTTAAGTACCTGAACTATTGCATTTAATCATGTATTGTAACTGTGTTACTCTAACTTTTTGCATTGGAGACAAATATACAATGAACATTCAGATATCACAGATTGCACACTAGATAGTAAATCGTCAGGCCTTTTACGTAACCACCAAAAAACAGATATTGGATTCTGCAATATAGTACAAAATTCCACACTCCAGTCTTAGCCAGTTATCTTCAATTTACTCCCGATGCTGTACAAATAAATGGCCATTTAACTAGGGCTTACAAGTTAATAACAGGACAAAAAAAATATACATTGCACTGACACAAAAAGTCAGCTGTGTTAATAGTCATGCAACAAGTAACCAAACTTGCTGAAATTAAAAATACTGTCTAAAAACAGT